AGCCAAATTTTGCAGGTACCTTATCTCCATACCGAGAGAGATCTCATCCAGTAAAATCATACCCACACCAGGTAGGTCCTTTCCAACTGAAATAGTCTGTTCTATTCTATCATCTTATGATCAAAATAGTCCATTTTGGAGCTCTGTCTTAAATCTTCCAGAAATGTCATAGGTGGAGAACTTTCTGAAAGATTGCTAATAAATCTTGGACTGTAATACCAATATAAGCTACCCTTTCTGAAGCCAGGTATGCAGTTTATAGGTGTGTAATATTGTTCTGTAGAGACTTTCAAAAAAGTCCTGCTTACACAACTGTGCCAGAGTCCACTACATTTTAATAAAATTATTCTTGTATTAAGAGGATTCCTTCCCAGAAGGAGCTGGGTTATTGGAAACTGGTGATATTATTCTGTGTACGTGTTTATCCCCTTCCCCTCTGTTGTTTTCAGCCATATGATATCAGAACTGTACCTGGAAATTAAGAACTCTGAAAGGAGAAATTACACTTACTTCGTAGGATTCTTTGCTTAAGGTATTTGTTTTTTCTGACTCAGAAAACTCCCTGTGGTTTTTGAAATAGTCCAGGCTGGGGACACTGCAGAAAATGTATTTCTGATGTACTTTCTTATAGAAAGCTTAATTCAGTCTCTCCTGGAAAATCCAGAAACAATTTCCCCTGCCTACAAATGTGCCAACAATTGCGTAAATTTGCAAATGATTATTTTTTTCCTCTTGGGGCATATCTTCACAGTAGATTGTCAGTTTTTGCAGAACATCGTAAGTCTACCCAAAGTACCCTACAGTGAAAAGGATAGGTGGTTATAAAAAAAAATAATAAAAATATCAAAACCCCAGCAACTTAGTCATCTGTTCAGCAGAAGAGCTTTATCTGTTTTATTTACAATACATAACTCTTGCTTTAACAGACTCGGTCTCATCTATGAAGAGATTTTCAGTGTTCAAGTTTTATACTTAAATGTCAGGAGAATTTAAAACAGACGTACTGTATTTTCTATTTTTTAAGCTTGATATGGTCCTATACTCTCCATATGTTCCATGGGTTTCTGCTAGAGAGAAATATTAAAGTTACTGGACAACGGGTGTAGCCACAGAATATGAGATAAAATTGCCATTTGTATTAAATAGAGGAGAATGAAATTAAATAGAGAATGAAGCTCAAAAAAAAATGGTTGCCAATATGAATTTTTTTATCATGAATAGGTAAACGCTCTCTCTTCTACTATTTTGAATCCAGTCTCATACTTCTCTCAAAGTGTTTCAGGATGGTTTTAATTTCTGTTGCAGTTTATTTTCATCGAGTGAGATTTGTAGAGGGGCAAAGTACTTGCACCAACTTGTCCTGTTTTGCTTTTCAATTCTGTGTTTGCCTAGCTTACACTGTCTTAATTTTCATCAATGTGGTCACTTAATCTAGGTATTGAAATTTCAAATTCTACTTGTGTAAGAACTGAATTTCGGAAATATAGTGCTAGTTGTGCATATATTAGGACGATTTACAAATTTCAGATTTGGGAAAATAATTAGCTGAAAGCCAGCATGTGGAGAAGTTGCCAAAACGCTTATCTGTGTGCACGGTAGTTTTTCTAAAGGCGGGAGTCATAAATGCAGTCATTCATCACTCTGAAGTCTGGGAAATTCAGAGGCCATCAGGTGAGTTTGCACGTGTGGTCTGTCATCCTTGAAAGGCACCAGAGATGATCGAGTCCCCAGTGACTAGGGAAAGGCAAGTGCTGTGACCATCTTCAAAAAAGGCCAAAAATACAATGGCGGAAGTAGAGGCCACCCAGCCTTACTGCGATCTGTGGGAACTTACGGACCAAAACATCATCTTGGAACACATTTTTAGACACATGGAGAGAAGAAGTTACCTGAAAACTCATTTTTTCCTCACTGAATTTTTCACTTTGTCTGTTGAATTGTACTAAATCTTGTGTCTTACTGCATTCAGGAAACTATTATGTATTAGTGCTGCATACATTATGAATACATTAGTTATCCAGAAGTTAGAGGTAGGCAGTATCTGTAGGAGAGCAGAAGGAAGTAGCAGTTTTATGAAATGTATCATAATTTTACAGTTCTGTGAAAGGTCATCCTTGTATTTTTGTATTTTGCAGCTTTGTGCACAGTCCGATGCTTTTTTTTAATTTTCTTAGGTAACTCCTTTAAATTACAGTGAGGTGGAAGACAGGTATTGCTGTGTAAAGATCTGATTTTTAAAAAATAGATTAATTTAGCAAACAAGGCAAAGTATTACCTATTAAATCAAATCAGATGCTTTTGGAAAAAAAGCACAAACCAACCAACACCATCTGTATTGTGTTTTGAATGGAAGTGTGCTGAGGTTGCAGTGTCTGTTACTGTAGAATATGTAATGTTTACCCCTGGCATCGCTCATTGCCAGTACAATAAATCAATAAAACTTCTAACCTGGTGTAGCAAACCCTAGTGTCTAGAACTGTCTAGTAATAATAGTTAAATTTTCCTGCCTACTTGATGAGCTCCTGTTGTTTGCTCCAGATTTGATTTGTCAGTTACTCTGTACAACTCCTCCATCATCAAATGAAATCTTAATGACTTTCCTTAAATGCTGAGCTGAATTCCAATATCTACTGTTAAGAAAATAAAAATGTGTTTTCAGCCATTTGCTGGTTATAGGGGGAGCCAGTAACTTGTTAAAATTATGCAGTACCTCTTCGTAAAACGCTATTTTTTTTTGTTGCTTGAATTTAAAGTTGTTTTTTTTTTTTAAATATGAGTTGCCCAAGAATGTCTCAGCATCTTTTTTGTTTGTTTTTGGTGGTGTGGTTTTTTTTGTTTTGTTTTGTTTTGTTTTTTTAATTTATTTCACTGGTAAAGACACCTGCAGGTTGTCCAGGGTAAAAACAGCTTCATCAGCAACTGCACTTCTGTTTCTTTGAGAAAGTAGAAGGTAGCATAGGCAACTACTTTTAACCTCAGAGTTGATGGAAGCTCAGCCTGCATAAAATCAAGATGTTGGCTGAAACAATTAAAAACTTGGTGGATTTGAGACTTTTTGATTTATTATGCCTTTTAGTTACTCAAGTTCACAGTCTAAGTAAATCACACATTTCTGCTAAACTCCAGGAGCTCCTTGTTTTGTTTCGTTTCTGTGCTTTGTGAGGTAGAAATAAGAAGTTTTCAAGTCACTTAACTTTTGGTGACATCCAATATGGATTAGTCTTACTTTGCTGAGTAAACAATGTCTACATAAGCTATATAAAATTCAGACTCAGGTTCTGGAGATAATAGTGCTTTGCAGGTAGTTCCCAGATGAGATACAAATACTTGCTGTTCAGAACAAACAACTTCTCAATTGAGCAACTGCATTGTCTTCATGCTTCACGTTGATGTTTCAGAACTTTGGTATCCTTTTAACAAACCACGTACAGAAATAATCTTATTAAGATTGCAGAAGTGATGAAGGAATTGACCAAGACTTAATCTTGCTATGCCACATTACATTAATACAATGTCGTATGGTCTTTACTTAAAGAACCTGTAGTCTACACGAGTAGAAACAGATGTGGTCTTTGAAAGTGTTACGAAGCACAGCAGAAGACAGGAAAAATAGCAAGTGTCATTGACATGATGTTATCTTCTTATGGGTGTGGTTCAGGTTAAATTCAAAAGAAAGGGCTGGGGAGAAGGCTGAGGGGTGCTGGGGATAAGAGTAAGCAGAGAAAAGCAAATATGGAAGAAGAAGGAGGGCTGGAGGAAGCCATTGGTGCATAACAGATACGATCCAGTCAACTCCAAACATTTTCAGTGTGCAAAGGCCACTGGTTTGGCTGCTCTTTACAGCTGTCCTTCCTGTCTAGCATCTGTCCCATTTCTCCCCAAGCAGTGGGCCGGGGAGGGGTAGGGTATCATTGGGATTCCTGTACCCCAAGGATGTGAGGGGCTCCCCAGCCAAGTCCTGAGCCCTCTGGCCTCTGCCAGACCTCGTGCTCCTCTCCTTGCCAAGCACAGAAGTCCCAGATTTAGCTCCTTCTGCAACTCCTCCAACCATCTGGAGTCCATGCCTCCTTCAGAGCAGCGTGACTAAAGTAGAAATCTAAGAATGGAGTGTGCTTGCCTCAGTTCAGACTACTGTTGTCTTTTTTTACATTTTAATACTTGTACATCTGTGTATCTTCAGAAAAATAACGTAAATAAAATTTAATGTTTAATACATTATTTTATGCCATTCTGAAATAACTTTTTAAAAAAACTTGTTAGAAGCATTAAAATATTTTGGCTCTTTTAAGCTTTCACACTGGAAAAATCTAAATTTTGAAATGCATGACTTGTGGAGGAGGTAAGAGGCTGGATATATAAATTATGGTGTATCCTTTCCCCTTTTGAAAGAACCAAAGCACACTGCATTTTTAATGTTGATAACTCCCCATTAAAAACTTTAAATACTCCTAAATGACTTTTAACTTGCTGAAGGACTGCCTTTTTCTTTCAGATGTGTTAGAATTCATATTAGCACTACTTTGCCCTTGTTTCTGAATTATTTTAATGACGGCAGCAGCTCCACGAAGCTGTCTGTCAAGATGTGGGTGGCAGGCTATTATTTCACTTCATAAATCATAATTTACAGGGTTTTTTATATCCATCTTGGGGATAAACACTTTATGCTTTGTGTTTTCAGCAGCAATATAAAATGTAATTGATACTTAAAGCAATATGTTAGAAATATGGACACAGAAAGCGAGGAGAGAAAAATCACAAATGTTTAGTTTTTCTGTGGGTTGGTCTACATACTGAGCATTTTTTCCATCTGATTTCATATTCTTAGCACTTCAACAGAGGATGATGATGAATTACATTTACATGATTGCTGCCTGTAGGTTCCTATAAGGATGTTTCTTTAGTTACAGACACTCAACAGATCAGTTAGCTCAACAGGGTCATTTTGTACTGTATCTTGTGATGCTAAATACACTTAACCGTTTTGTGCTATTGTCTTCCAGATTCATGAAAAACTGCATTATTATGAAAAACAGAACCCAGTGCCCGTCCTCCATGGTGCAGCAGCCTTGGCAGATGATGTAAGTGTCCCCTGCTGAGATCACTGGTACCAAGTCTCCCAAAAAACTGTCTGCAAGCAGAACAACTCATAGTGCAAACATATGAATATAATCCTCTGAGCTGAAATCATAAGAAGCTGCAAATGTTTCCAAAGGTGCTGTCATCACCGGGCTTGTTGCTGATATTATTTGATTTTTATTCACTTGCCTGTTATAAAAACATTGCATCTAGATAGCCTCTTGTTCTGCATTGGTAACTACGTAATAGAAATTGCAGGTTGGAACTCTACTGGGAGGGGAAAAGCTGTCAGCTATTAGTGTTTTGAGAAAGTCACAGACAAGAGGAATGCTTTGGAAAAACAAAGACAAATGAGATAGCAGCACTGCTGACAGAACATGAAAAATGACAGATAGTACTACAGAAATGAAGCATATGAAATGCCTAGGAAGGAGGCTTGTTAAAAAAAAAAATCAAAACCTATTTAAGAAAAAGTACAGTAGTGATTTATTGATATTGAAGCTTTCCAAATTACCTTCATAACCAAAAAATAAATTGTAAAAGTGGTCGGCATTGATGGAGTAGTTAATTTCCTGTTACTATAATTTTTATTTTAAAGAAAAAAATCCAACCTGCCATTTCTTGCTGTTTGGTTAATTCTAGGATTCAGATGAATTGTGCACACACCTGTATAAACTATGACTGAACCTGAAGTAGGCCAGGATAGAGAATGTTTAATAAACTGTGGTTTAGGTGAAATCCAGAAATCTTTGTTGCAATTGATGATCTCAGGTTGTTTTTTGGAAAAGGCAATATGTATTAGGATCCGCTTCAAATGCAGCATGTTTGAAACTTCACGTACTTTATAGATGTTTTAAAATCTTAACTATCTTTTTATGTAATGAATAGCTTTTGATTTTTAAATTTTGCAAATTGTTAGATGTTATGAATTGAGAATGGTAACATTTTAATGGAAAAATAAATTAAACATATTTGAAGCCCATTGAAAAAAGGATATAATGTAATTTAATCATGTTTCAAGTAGGAGGAGAGCTATATCCTATAACATACCAAATACAATAATGCATTAGCTTTGACATCAGGCATATATTAGTTGTATTTTTTTAACCTTCAAGTAGCTTTGAATAATGTTGATAGTAATTTTGAAAATTAGAAAGCTGGTTGAAATTCTCTTCATTAAGTTCTTGGTGACATATTAATAATCCTTGTTAACATTTGTGTTATGGATCTCTGGGCTAAAATTCGTAATAATAATTTCTTATTTTTGGATGCAAAACTTAGTTCTTGATATATTCAGAAATGCTGAGCAATCTCATTCTTTGTTCAGCCCCATTTAAAACGTATACTTTTGGAAGTCCCCAAATTAAAGTACTCTGTCACTCCTCAGTCTAGAGAGGGTGGCTTTTTTAACACTATGAATGTATTATTATGCATACATGGTAGTATTTTTAAAACGTACATGTGTTGGGACATGAGTGTCTCTAGACATCTGCCTACTTTTTAAGCACATTTTCTTTTTAAAGATTCTCTTGCTGGTTCTTCAGTTTTGCTTATGTGTAGCTGAACAGCTGGTTTAATGGGCACCATCCCATAGAATGAGGATGTCCTTTTGCAGCTGAAGTCAGGCAAGCACGCTGCAGGATTTTCTGTGTTTCAATAGTTATCAGCAAACTTTGAGGAAGTTAATTTACATGCAGTGGGGTTTGTAACTCCAAAACCCATGGTGTTCCAGGATTAAAGTGCTATTCAGTTTTTGGCACGTTTGTCTGACTAGTTGTCAGCTTCAGGGGATTTAAGAGCATGTTGGTGATATAAAACACACTTTTATTTCAATAGCCTTTAAATTAATGTTTTGTTTTCCTGGTGATAGTAACTCTTCTATAGTTAAACAAAGAAGGAGATATTCTCATTGGCGAGTATTTCCTGTTTGATTTAAAACCCAAATTTGCAGTGCTAAACTAAAACTAAAAACTGTTCAAGGAGTGTGGTTTTCTCCTTGTGTTATTTTTTTTAAAGCAATTTTAGAGGTAACAGTTGTGGTAAGGCTTCTTTTCTAAACATTTTCATATTCCTAGCTGTTATAACTTCTCTCTCCTCACCATTTTGGTTTGAATTTCCTATCAGATTCTTTTTGCCTCTTATTTTGGAGCAGCAGTGTCTGACATTAGGACTCTTGATTTCATAAAAATGTTTTAAGCGTTGCTGGCAGTATAGATGTATACAAATAAGGCCTCTAGGTTATTAGAAAGACTCTTCTGGCAGAAGAAGTTTCAGAGCTTTCTCCAGAAGCTTTAAACCCCTAGGCCCCTGTGCTCCTCATCTTGCCAGCCTCAGTCCACATCTGCCCTTCTCCCTGCCTTTGTTTTCCCCTCTCTATAGCAGCAGCTCTTCATGAAGAGCTTGGTGAAATGTTATGGTGCCCTCAACAGAGAATCGTAGAAGAGGTTCTCTGACAGTTTCTCCTGCCATCTTTGGCATAGGAGGTGATGGGCATGGTATCAGCATGCCCAAAGTATTCCATATAGTTTCTACTGCTGCTGGTAGCTGTTGCAAACCTCAGCATTTCAACAGTAACAACAAATAAAAATCCATCCAAAAGTGCTGAAGCACAACAAGCAGCTCTGGTGATATCTGTTTGCTAATCTGGAAACATGGCTTTGTCTTTCTCCTTCTCTTATCAATCTTTGTCTTCCTCCTCCTCTTCTGTCCCGCGGTGTTACATGTGCCGTTAAGACATTTTTGGAAATATTTGGAAAAACCTTGTAAATTCCATGAGTGAAAACAAATTTTTAATTATTTCATCTCTGAACAAATATGTTCTAAATTATGAGATTAAAAAGTCTGTTAAAGCAATAACAGAATATTCTTTCTGTTTCTCACTTTTCTAAACCTTATGTGCCTGCATTTATACTTGCACCTCCAACGCAAATGCCAGTTCGCTGAAGTTAATAGATGCTTGTGCACAATTCATCTGAGAGAGAAATGCTGAAGCAGTCATTCTTACCAAGTGATTACTAGTCTTCATCAATGAAACACGAATTAATAAATTTTATTCTCCAGTGATGAGTAGTACAAGCTAAAGACTGAAAATTGAGCCAAGGACAACCTGTGTCCATACCTGCTGTCATTCCTATGACAGATTATTTTCAGCTTTGCAGAGCTTTTCCATAGAACATGCAGACTAGATTGCAGTCAGGTTACCTCAGTACTTGGCTTTATGTGCTTGAAATATTTCATTCTGACCTTTCCTACAGAGATAGTTCTCTAATCTTTTGGTATTAAGACACAAATATGGTTAAGGTTAGCAGTGATGTAGTTGATGGATGTTTTTATCTATGAATTATAGTTTAAAGGCTGTGGGATTGTAGGTGATGAATTTTTGTTTAAGTCCTGTTAGCCCTATTAATCTGAAGGTTAAAAAAAAGTATTCAAGCCATGTCTGATGTCTATAATTGCTTCTAGAACTGGCTATTATATATAATTATGCAAAATATACTTCTATCCATTTATCTTGAAAATTTCTATAAAATGAAAGTACAAATTTAAAATTAGGCTAGACGAAAAAAATTACTTGCTGCAAATAGCCAATCTTTCTTTGAGACATTTTTATGATACTGATTTAATGCAAAGAAAATAAGTGATTATCTGAAATCACGTTTTGGATTATGAACCATGTAGCTTCAGAATTTTAAACTGAAGTTCAGTGTTGTGAAATATGTTTTAGCTTTTCCTTCTTCTGGAAAAATAGTTTGAGTCTGAAATCCTGCAGTAAAATATGCCTCTTGAGTCCAAATTAGTTGAGAATGTCATGATAAGAAAAACTCAAGACATGAGCCAAATAGTCGTGGGATTAAACATTGGACTGCTGCTCTATTGTTCACCAAGCCCCAATTTTGTAGTATAACCAAACATAAATTACTGACCTTGTTGTTAGGACATAGTTTGTGCATTTTAGGGTCTTGAATTGCTGATGACCTGTTATAAACTATATTATGATTAACCCGCTTCACATTTAACAAGCTCCTTCCAGTGTATGTGTAAACATAATAAAAGGTTCAGATTGCTTGCACTGTAGGGGCACTTTGCTTTCTTATCCCAGTCTTAAACAGCGCAGCTACTGTGGGTTTTTGGAAGCAGTGTGGATTTCACCACCTCATTCGAAACTGTTTTTTATAGACAGTGTCAAAGTTTGATCCAGTCATTTTTACAAGCAGTCCTTTGTCTGCACGCAAAGGATCATTCACTTAAATGAAGTGCTGGGATTTGCCCCCATCACTATAAATCAGAATGTGATCTGGCTGCACCCTTGCCAGAAATGATTACTTGTGTTAAACAGAGCCAAAAGGCCTGGCTTAAATCTGGTCCACTGAGGGCAAGAAAAAGAAGCGCAGTGATTGATGGTGTTTTTCTTCATGCTGGCTTCTGTTTGAACACACTGGAAAGTAATAACCTTGAACAAGCTAGATTCTGGGTTGTCACTGATGCACTGGGTAAAACAACGCGTTGCTAATGGTCTTTGTGTCGATTCCATCTCCCACCCAGCTGGCTGAGGAGCTGCAGAGCAAGCCACTGAGCAGCGAGATCAGAGAACTGTTGAAACTCCTCTCAAAACCCAACCTCAAGGTGAGGATGTGTTGCACCTGCAAAGTGTTTTCTGCATGGGCATCTGCATCTGCTTCCTCGGGCTGTCTGGGCATTTGTCTGCTTTAAGGAGTATGTGTGCTTTTAAGAAGGGACACAATGTTAATAGGGAATACCTGTTATGAAGAAACACATTTAATGCTGCCCATAAATTCTTATGCTGTTACTGATATTTATAAAAGGAATTCAGTGGAAAGCCATTGTTTATTTACAGTGGATATTGAAAAAAGTAGATACTTGGGTTTTTTTGTCTTTTGCTAACTTTTATTGTATGCACTTCATAAATTTATTCAAGATGTGCTTTTACTAAAAGGTTTTCAGTCATACCATTGATTTAATTGCACTGCATAAGTAACACAACCTGGTACTTGGAACAAAATTCCTGAAGGATATTATTTAAAAAAAAAAATCATTTTGAAAAGTCCTGTGGTTCTCTGTGGTGCTTTCAGGGAACTTGATACACTTTATCTGACAGTAGACTATAGAACCATTGAATCACTCTGGTTGGAAGGAGGTTATCTAGCCCAATGTGCTGCTCAAAGCAGGGTCAACACTGAGTTCAGAGCAAATTGCCCAGGGCTTTCTCCCACCAGGTCTTGAAAATGCCTGGGAACAGACATTCCAAAACCACCCTGTGTAGCCTCTTCCAGTTCCTAATTACCCTCCTAGCAAAAACTGTTTCCTTATTTCCAGTCAGAACCTCCCCTGTGTATTAATGCACACTATCACAATGTTTTTCCACTCTAAAGAGAAGGAAGACCTTAGTGCTCTAGATGCATATTGCAGTGCTAATTAAAAGTTTAGAGGAAAACTGTAGAGTGGAAAGGAGCCCTTTTTAAGACAGTTGCTTCTTTATATTCCCTGTAAAACACTGATCTCAAAACATGAGACATTGTGGTATCTTCAAAGTGCTACAAAATTTTAAAGATCAATTATGCCTCCTTTTTCAAGATTTTTGCACAGTTGGTTATTCCATAGTTTCCAAAGTGACAAGCTGCTTTTCTCTGAGGGGGTAAGCAATGCCAATGGCTAATTGCAAGAGGAACTGCTGGTGCATCAAATTGCAGAGATCCTAAGCTTCACTGTAGGTATTTCCTTAGTGACTGTCCACGTGTGTTTCATACTTCCGAAGTGGATTGAGTCTGAAGTCTGATGCCACAACTGCATCTCTCCCTTTTTTGCTTTCTCTCTCCCCCTCTTGCCGTCTCGCTCCCCCTCCCTTGCTCACATTCTCTCCCCCTCTCCCATTCACTCACTCTTGCTGTCTTGTTCCTTGGAAGCGGTTAAATGCAATGTGATAATCTTAGTGGGATTTCAGGAAAAGAAGTGCTTTACCCTCAGCATGGTTAATAAGATTGAACAACTACAGTAATACAGCAAACATCTGTCTTGGCTGCAGGAGGGGATGGCCAGCTGCAGGGTACCAAGCCCTTCGCATGTCCAGACTGCCTAATCCTGCACAAGACACACATGTTTCGCTGCCCTGCGTAGCTTGGAGGTGTTTGTGTGAGTTAGGGGAAAGAACTGACAGTATGCCTGATGTTTTTGCCTATCCATTATCTTCTCCATCCACGTTCTTATGGCAAATGTGCCTGGGAGAGATGGTAAATATCACCATTCCCTCCTCCATCATGTTGACCAGACAGTGTGGGACTCGGTATTTCCAGTTCTTCCTCAGAGATGCCCTCGAGTCTGATCAGCTGTATCTAAGCTTATGCCATACATTGCAGAAGATTTGCCAGCACTTTGCTATTAGGTTGATGAAATCAGTTGGGATAACCGATACGTCTTTTCCAATGATGTTGCATAGGCTTTATCTAAAAACTTGTATATGGCTTAATTTGGGATTGACTTAAGCTGTCTCTATGCTATTCTGCAGGGGAAACTTTCCTCTCCTGAACTGGCTTATAACTGCAGTTTTAGCTGGAGCCAGCAGGAGAGCTTCCACTTCCCTACAGCTCTGCTCTAATGGTCATGGTATGATGAAGGATGGTTAGGATTAGTTTACTGTGCTGCATCACTGCTTCCACAAATCTGGTGGTGTAAAGGGACAGGTCGAGGAAGGTGATTGTAACTTCACAGGTTTAGTTAACATGCCAAAAAAGGCTGGGAGAGGTTTCCAGCAATTGTCTGATTAGATGAATATTTCTCTATTTTCAATCTGTGTTACAAAATTGATTTGCTGAATATATTTCTGAGTGTTCGCATCTGATGAGTAAAGCTTTGACAAGTTTGTGGTGTTCGTGGCTTTCATTCATAGAGAAATTCTTTAAACAAGAAAAGTTTTTCTCTGAGGCAGTTATATTTATCAGACCTGAGATTTTCAAAATGTTCTAGAAGTTATTCCAGGGGTTTGTCAGGTGCATTTTCTTTTGGGAAAAAATTAACTGGGCATTGTTGGTCATTTTAAAACTGGATGCAATATCCAGTTACACCAAGTGGGTTTTTTTCTGCCCTAACATGTAGCATCCTTTACCATAGTTAAATGAAGTAGTAATGGTTGTGGTTGGTCTCATCTGATTAAAACAGAACTCTGGAAGTAGAACAGAGCACTTAGCTCTGGGAAATCAAGTGGATTTGTTTGTCTGTGTGTAAGATACTGCATTTGCGTTCTAGATTTAAAATACAATTCTAGAGTCCCATGGACTCAGGTCAGCAGCATCTATGGTTTTTAATTTCCAGCATTGAATTAAGACTTAAAATTTACATTCTGTAATTTTGCTATACCTTGTTAAAGATATCATAGAATCATAGAATCATAGAATGCTTTGGGTTGGAAGGGACCACTAGTGGTCATCTAGTCCAACCCCCCTGCAGTGAGCAGGGACACTGCTAACTAGATCAGATTGCTCAGAGCCCCATCCAACCTGGCCTTGAATGTTTCCAGGGATGGGGCCTCCACTACCTCTCTGGGCAACCTGTTCCAGTGTTTTACCACCCTCATTGTAAAAAAAATCAGCAAGTAGAACAGTCTTTCCATACCTTAGAACGCAAATCCAGTTGGATGCAGTATCTGATTTTTAAGCAGCCCAGAAATTAACTCTTTGAAAAGTATCTTATCTCTCATTCAGCAAGTGTAAGTACAGCAATTGATATCTTCAGCTCTTTCCCATCAGAACCACAAGTGTGCAATCAAATGCTTGCAATCAGTTGAGGAACTTAACTGTTATTAAACATTTACACTTCCAGCATATACGTATGTAAGCTTAAAAGGTCTGCTGAGTTGGTTCTTAAAAAAACAGATTAAGAGTTTAGCATGTCACAGTTAGAATTACAGAAAATAACCAGAACTAGATGTACTGAGACTTACATTGCTGTGCGTGTGCTTCTTAAAGCTGTGAGGTGTGTGGGGATTACTGGGATTTTCTTTGATCTTTTTTTTTCAGTTGCAATAAAATATGTCCTGGTTTTGGCTGGAATAGAGTTAGTTTTCTTCCTAGCAGCTGGCATAGTGCTGTGGTTTGGATTTAGGATGAGAAGAATGCTGATAACTCGCTGATGGTTTAGTTGTTGCTGAGCAGGGCTTACACCAGGCAAGGACTTCTCAGCTTCCCCTGCTCTGCCGGGGGCACAATAAGCTGGGAGGGGGCACAGCCAGGACAGCTGACCCCAGCTGGCCACAGGGCTATTCCAGACCTGAGCATATGCTCAGCACATGAAGCTGGGGGAAGAAGGAGGAAGGGGGGGGACATTAAAAGTGATGGTGTTTGCCTTCCCAAGTCACCGTTAGGCGTGATGGAGCCCTGCTTTCCTGGAGATGGCTGAACCCCTGCCTGCCCACGGGAAGTAGTGAATGAATTCCTTGTGTTGCTTTGCTTGTGTGCATGGCTTTTGCTTTGCCTATTAAACTGCCTTTATCTCAACCTGGGAGTTTTCTC